GCGACGCATCTCGCGCGAATCAAGCAAATACTGTTCACGCACGTAACATGTATTCTATTTTTTGCACGGATTAGTTAAATCGAATTTACATAAATTCAAATCCTTTTCGCGAGATTTTTGCGACATTATAATCCTTTTGAAAAATCAAGTCCTCTATGCCGATAAAGTAGAAATCTAAAAATTTAAAATGTCAATTTATTGTTCAAAACTTCTGGTTTAAGCTTATTTTTGCCCGTGTACTACAGGGAATGATGTAAAGTGTATTTATATTTTCTTTTTTACTCTTCCATCATACTACTTATTAGTTTATGATCCGCACTAAATAGATAATTTCGTTGAATTTTTAGGCACTAGTGCGCGAAAGTAGATAGTCATTTGTAAAATTGACGTTCCTGACGTTCGTGTTTTATTGGGAAAACGCGATTTAGAACGAAGGAGTGCAAAAAGATATTTAATAATAAATGACACATTATTATGGCCACTTTTTTCCCTCTACAAGATGCTACTTTTAAATTTGAAGTTTGACGTTTCGTCTCCGGTTAACTATCATCAACTTTGTTTCTTATGGAAGTAATTTTTACTTTTTGTGTCATTTGATAGAGAATTTCTTTCTGATTTCAAAAATGTACACATCAATTTTTTTAATGCTTGTAAAATATCTTTTTTGCCTTTGTCTTAAGTAACGTAGTAAGTAGTTTCTTGCGTTTTTACGAATTAACGTTATTTCTTATTAAAAATAGATGATGTTACCATCAAGGGTAACTTTGTCAAATGTAAACTACCTCTACCTATCTCTTACAGTTCCCGAGATCCCCATGGTGGCCTTTGAATTTGAATCACCCTGTATAGGTCAATTATTACACATTACACTAAACTGACTAAACTAATACTAATATGTAATAGGTACTATCATTGAATAAAGAGCTTTATTCAATGGAACTATTGAAGTTCAAAAAATTTAATTTGCAACAAGGTATGGATTATAAATTACGGTATTTTAATCTGCAATCAGCAAAGATAAAGAATAGGGAAGACGGTCAAACAAATCGCATTACAAATAAACCCACACAAGGTCGCATCTTGCCAGACATCAACAACAATATACAACAGCCCTTTGTTCTAAAAATTACGTAAAATTTTGTTATTTGTTGTAAAGGAATGTTACCTATCCCCATTTCTATTATTTATTTCATAAAACGATAGGTAGAGGAGGTACCTTTTGCAATGGATAGGAAAGAGAAACCAAATAAATTTCCAAGCAAGTAGTTGACAAAATAAAAATATACCAGTGAACGATCTTTTTCTTGCTGTCAGCAAATTCTATTACACGCACGCTCGTTCAACCTTGAAAGAGAATCGCTAAATGATTTAGCATAGGCAACTTACATAGCCTGCTAGTTTTTTTTACTCGTAAATTGTTGGTCTTTTATTATCCCCATTACACAGTACTAGTACTAGCCTAGTTAAAAAGTAAGAACAACTCCATCGCAAGATAAAAGCGCTTACCTATTTCATATCTTTATCGTATTTTTTACTGACTTCATAAAACTCTTTGGTGGCACCCTCTGTGAGAAAGAAGCTACACTGTTGACCGCGATATTAGTCACAGCTGTGTAGTTTATTTCCAATTCTCCAGTTTACATGCTCATTTTTCAGAACTTCATTCACCACTTTTTTTATGAAAACTTTTGAGCTTCACATAAATTGCCAAAATATAGATAAGTATTCACGCTACCGATCCCATACACTCGTATTGCTTAAAATGCTCCCTAATTTTTGCAATTAATTCCTAAAGTATGAACTCTTTTGACGCATGTTTTCTAGATTTTTTAAACATATATTAATGGACAAAATATCAGTTTATATTGTATGGAAACTATGCTCTGTACATCTATCTACCTAATGCATATTTTTCCGATCATATACACCCCTTGCTTATGGAATGGTGAATGAAGTTCAGAGGCAATGCACGCCCCATTGAATTACATGTGCATCACCAGTTGCCTATATTCTCTAAATCCAAACCATAAGCAAGCTCATCCATTACAGGATTAGCTCTACCAAGTTCTTTACTTTTTATCGGCAGAAGAAAAAGATTAGCTTCATCCTCACTCACTTCACCTCCAAGAAAGAATGGAAAAAAGATTGTGCGGATTGCCAAATTTAAGGGGTTCAATAGAATATAAGTTTCAAGTATTATTTTTCCAGATGAAGTACCAATATACGCTCCTAAGATTCTATCTAATGTTCATTTTTTTGCATCTTTCGCAAAACAAATTTTCGAATTACCTACCGCCATGAAAGCGAGGGATCCTTTTTGAGATACTTGCAAGTTATTTGTGAAATTTATGAAAAACATAAAATGACTTCATTTTTAATCTTTACCGCAAGATATTTTTGAGGAAAAACAGTATTGCTCGCGTCCCAAATTACATGACTTAAAAAAAATACAGTCCCATGCAATAAAAAAAGTTATACAATTTTTTAAAAAAGTTGCAATTTAAAACAGTTGCGTAGATCGAAGATGGACACCAAGTATGTACTTGGAAAAACATATCGTGGGATGCAACCTGCAAAGTTTCCTTATTGATCCAGTATTCAATTTTCCACGTGTAATAATAGCATGGTGCTTTAGAGGAATATTTTAAGTAATTTATCCAAATATCCAGGAATGTAATTATAATTCATTACTGTTGACTTTCAGAAAGTTTATGAAGTAGCAATTTTCTTAAAACGTTGCCCACTTCCATGTTTGTAACGGACATGCTGTAATAAGAACATCAACCGTTTATGGAATGATTCAATTTGTAAAGCAGATTATATTAATTTTCGTAACCATGAAACATATTTCTAATATTATTAAAATGTTGGGTTTTCCTTTTTGATTAATTAATATAAATCCTAAACGTCTAACGCTTTGTAATCTGAGAGGGTTGCGCAAAGCCTGAAATTTGATTATAATTATCTTACATTAAATATTTGTTTATGTGATACGAAACTGTTATTGGATTTGAGAGGTTTCCATGACTACCTTCTACGTCTTTAACGGTAAATTAGACATGGATACGGTAATGCACTAACGTAAACACCGGCTGTACCTTAAAATATGTATCCTCTCGTTGCGTTAATTACGTTACGCAGTAGAACCAAATGCAAATTACATCACACTGTGTAAGTAATTTGAGATTTGTTTCAGTTTAAAGTTTAATACTGCAGTAAATCTCTATTTCCAGGAAATCTCTCAGTTGCTTGATTGGGCATCCACAAAAAGATTTTCGGGATGTCTAACAAATTAGTTTTCTCGCGGTCTTGGTAACATAAACTTCTAGCATAGCTCCTGTTTTAAATCAACATTCCTCATGCGATTGCACTTTTTAAGATAATTGGAGCGAGGAGAACATAACCGAAGGGTTCATTTCTTATCGGGTTTAAAAATAAAAAGGAAAGGCTTAACGTTGATTGCTGCCATAAAAACTGAATCTAATTTTGAACACAATCGAGTTGGGAATCTGCACCAATTTTTAAACAGATAGAATTGAAATTGAATTAGATTCATTTCAAAGCAACGAATGTAGTACAATAAATACGGAAGCTTCAATTGTAGTTTTAATTATACCGTCTTACATGTCTAGATGCGGGTTTTGTTACAGACATAGAGTTAATAATACCGAAACCGTTCACAAAGTGTCCGAAAAGACCCGATACTTCAGACTTTAAAAGGAATGGTGCACTGTTGAGGCCCGAGTAATTAATTAACACTTATGCAAATAAACAGAATTGTTGTTGTTCCTAAACTATTACTGTGCTTGTAGTTTAGCTAATTATAAGCTCTATGTAAGTTGGCTTTACTTTGAAGTAATTCTGCATGAATTATCAAAGTACAAACCTGTTAGTCTAATGGTTTTGAATAATAACAATCAACTTTTGTCATGTAATAATTCGAAAATTGCTTAAGCGTCACTCCCTACGCAAAATTACTGTTGTAAGCAGTTAAGTACCGAGAAACCAACGCAAATAAATTTTTACATGTTAACTAATTGACATAACGTTTGGAACTGTGCAGCTTAATACACAAATAGCATGTGTCAGAAGAGCCATCGCTATCTAACACTACTGTGAAAATAACATCCGTTAGGACGTTGTATTTGAAATTGAGACAATACCGGGGAGCACCATAGACCAAAAGATCGCAGTGCAGGAACCAACTGGGAACACCCCTAGTACAATAATTAAAAAAAGGCCTATGTTATAAACAAATCCTGAAAATATTTGGTCTATCTTATTATAAAAAGCACTTTATTTTGTGAAGAAGCATTCCATATTGTCCTAAAGTTTAAAAGCCTCAATTGTGTGTCAGTTTCCACAGAAAACTTAAAATATGAAACGCCGTTATAGGGAGATCCGGAATAGTCCTGTATAGTTCACAATGCATTTAAAACTATAGTTCCCCCTCACACATATTCAATTCCTGTAAATAGAGAAAGGTATGTTTCAGGGAATTAATTTGTTTTGTACAAAGTACATAGATCATGTAAAATGCACAAGGTTTTACAATAAACCCTTATAGCAAAATTAAATTTGAATTAAACAAGGGTTGGCGAACAACGTACACAACAACGCTTTCCATTGCGTTAATAAGTTATTGGGCAAATGCTTTTTTTTGCAAGATGCACCAGTTGGCAAATCGAAAACCATAACGGAAAACATGCGGTTGTTATCATTTATTAAATTTTCTAACGCATTTCCAGTTGTGACTACATCTATCCGCATTTAATATAAATTATAAATTGAAAACAGAATTACTGTTTTAAAGCTACAAACGGAAAAATACTCGCCATGTTTAAATCCACTCGATAAACAGGCGG